CCCCTTCATCTTTTTTATCAGTTTTAACATTTCATATCTTTTCTATTTTCTGTTATGAATAAATTGAGAGTTTATGAGGTTTGCAGATCATTGCATTCTGTTTTTATTTGCGTCTTACCCAGTATCCCACCATTTTCAGGATTGGGTTTGACGGCTGCTGGCTGTTGTTCCTGTGTCTTTTGTTTTGTTTTTGACTTCATAGAAACTTTTTTTCTCGAACTGAGAGCTTAGCCAGGTTTGTTGCTGAACCTGGGCTTAGATCTCATGTACACTGTGACCGACATGGTAATAATAGCAAAAGTATTTTGTGTCATAACCTCAGGGTCTGCCCTCGGTCATCGAGCCCTTTGTGGTCAAGGTTACTGGGGGAGCGGTTTGCAAACAAATGAAAGGAAATATCCAGCTCTAACTGTAACACACGAGCCTGTATGTCTCCTATAAAGTCCACATTATTCTGTCATGTCATTTAAAGCTTACCAGCACACTTCAATGCTTCACAAACTGAACGCTCCACTTTTCAGGAACATTAACTTTAATAAAATGCTGCTCCGGCTTTAGCGAGACATTATATTACATGATCAACACATGAAAGGGAAACTACATAAAGGCATGGATTAAAATGGCAAAATGGTTGTAGCTGAAAAGTCCCTAAACTTGGCTGCTCAGCGGTTTAGTTCCCCTCAAACCACTTGAGTTTCTCTAATGAGATTGTGAATTCTTTTCAGCTGAATAGTTGAGAGTGAATCAATTTAGAGGTTCGAATTTGGGACCCGGAAGGCAAATTCTGACAAGCCTTAAATTGCTTGGGAGGTAGTTTGCTTTTGAACAGTGTCATAAACTCTAATGATGTTAAGAGGCTTAATTGGAATTTTCTTAAATATAGCTTTGTTGTTTAATACAGACCACAAGAATTCACTGCCTCACTTTTGTAGCCCTCACAGGATTAATGTGAATATGGCACGGGACTTTACACAACTGCGGTGCAGCAGTGGAAGGCTGCGGGTTGACAACATCTACCCGGCCTTTCAAAATATGATCCCTTAAAAATATATTTACGCTGCGGTGAGACCGGGTTGGTTATAAACGCACATATTTACACAGACCTCTGTTTATTGGGGCATTATTTACTTTTAATCTTCACGAGATCCCGTTTTATTTTTCACCGTTCTTCAACAATGATTAAAAATATATGGCTTTAGCTCGTAAATTTTAGTGCTCGACAAAAACATCTCTTTCTGGAGCATGCCTACAAGACTGTGTGGAGTGAGCCTGTGGCTGTTTGTGTGGAGTCATGTTAAAGATGACAAAGACCTTGACCCAGGCATCAATAAGCCTTCCTATTCCTCTTTAGACTGGAGACCAGTCTGAGATCCGATGAGCCCTCTGACAACTGTAGTTTTCCACTACATCAAATAAGCTACAGTCTAGTAGATTAAAAGATGAATGCATAAGGAACACATTAAGATTATATGTCTACGCAACACAGTGTGTGTGCTTTTGAAGACTTCTCCAACTTATACCGTAATGGAAATTTTTTGTAAGGGTATGAATTTCGCATTAGGCAATACCTTAATTCGACCACCGTCTTGAGCCACACCTGAATCTGAAGACAGTGTGCGAGAGGCTAGAAGACGTTCTCGGCCAAGAGTATTTCCTGCATCTCTGGTGGTGCATCCGCTCCTCATCCCAGAGAACATCGAGACAATAGAACAGATGGAGGAAGAAGACTGTCTGTGCATCTGGTTAAATGCATTGAAAGGACATTTTTAGCAAGCCTCCCACTGACAGTGAGGCCTGAAACAACATGGAGGAGCCATGACACAGCTTCATGTTTCACTACCAGAAATTAAAATTTAGTAAGATGTAGCAAATTTTTGTGCATCTAAAATGCTGAATAACATCAGATTTTGTTTTTCTCTCAGTGCCGCCTTGCTTCTGCTTCCATTGTCAGAGTAGCAGAGGTCATTTAAAGCTAGGGCCTGATATGTTACATAATGTCATGATTTAGACTCCCTCAATGAAAATTGAATCAGGAAATCCCCCCCATACCACAGTTACTATGTCCTTTACCATTATTAACATTACTGTGTCATCCACTCTTCACTTCCAGCTGTGGATTTCAGCCATGTGTAGCCCACCTTTCAAGATTTGCATTCCTTTAACTGTCATCTTTCACCCCTTTCTTCATATATATGTATAATTAGGTTTTAGTTTTTTAAAATTATATATAGATAACATCATTTTTAAAAAGCTCAGATTGTCAAACGACTGCATTACACTGCATCATCTTCTCAATTTACACCACTCGTCAGTGATTCACTACCAGTGGTGTTTTTAATTTACTGAAATGTGAAATTGCAAAAGTGAAACCAAGCATTTTGTCTTCTTGAAACTACCACAGCATTCAGTCTTATGATCTGAGGATTTTGCAAATTAAAACAGTCTGTGAGGGCACCAAGCACATGGCAAGAACTCCTCCTAAAATGGCTCCAATTAAAGGCAAATGCTGCACAGTTGCTTTGATTTATAAAACAAAACAAAAAACTGTATCTTTCTTCTTTTTTTTTTTAAACGTTGAGTGTTTCATCATCTACGTGAGAGGCTTTTTACTGACACAATGGCCTTGGCAATAGTTGAACTCTTACTGCGTTTTTTGAAAAGCAGGTGCTTGACTCCAGTGGCCCGTTAAGAGTCGACCTAATGAAAAGACAGGAGGACACATTGGAAACAGATGTGAATGCACCGTAGTAGAAAACAGTGCACAAAAACAAAAAAGGTGACCAGAAAAACATTGTTGTATGAATGCGGCTTATTGTGCTGGCCCATGTGTGTTTGATGGAGATGGTTGTGTTCACATTGAAGGTGGGTATGACTCACTTCATCCATTAGATCAGTGGCTGGGGTTTGGACAGCAGCCCTCCCCCTGATACTGAGACCACCACACACAAACCTTCCCAAACAGCCATCTGCTCAGCATTTCTACACATGCCTTTGAATCTTTAAAGAGATTTAAAATACTGCAAACGTAACACTTTGCTGTCCAAGGACCAGTCACTGCGCTGCTCTGCATGGCAGCAGTCGCGCTGCCGCGGGCCAAGTTTCCTTGAGCAAACGAGGCATGTCTGCCCTCCTCCTCTGGAAACAACTTGATTCGCTGTAGGAGCCATTGATATCACTGCACTACACATGCTTAATATCCCAAAGGGGGACCGTATGCATTATTATGTATTTTAGACCACACCGTTGCTCTAAAGATGCAGCTTTTCCTCTGGACTGTATGTCGCTTCAGCTGGCTTTGCTGGTGTTTTCCGCTCTGGATTAATCCACGTTCGCACCTCGCACTCACTAATCACACCAAAATCTCAAAAGCTTGCCAGTGTACATGGCTCCTTAGTGCCACAGGAAAGTGTAAATTGAAAGTCAGAGCTTAAAATAAATTTGATGTGAAACAGCACATCACCTCCCCCCAGTTAAAGCACTTCTGTTTGATGGGCCAAATTGTGGTTTATGCCAGGTGTGCGTGATTAAGGTTAGACAGTGGTCTTTGAGTTAATAGGGAAATGAACAACAGTCTTACGTGTTAATATCTGATGTTCGGTTAATGCCACCTCAGTTCCTTCTTTGCCCCATGTTATAATTATTACACCCCTTAGAGGACTTTGTCACTTATAGTTAAACCAAACCATTTCCAAATGTAATAGTGCTGTTTTGTCAAATTATAACACTGCTACCAAGGAGAATGTGATTTATGCCCCTTTTGGGACCACAGTTTTTTCACTACATTTGATTTGGTTTAGATTTTTTTTTTAGCTCTTTAACAAAAATATGTTGCTTCATTGATTTTAGAAGCCACATCTTTTTTTTTTTTGAATTAGGAGAAGGTCATAGTTTAGTTAGAGTGTAACTGGTACACTAAAAACTACACTGTGGGAATACACAGTGTGTTCACTTGTATGCAAAATCAAGTAATATGTATATCGCTAAATACAAATACACCACTCGGGCATAAAATTATGACATCCCGCCTGATATGGTCCTGGTCTCACTTTTGATTCACTGCCCTGACCCATTGAGACATGAACTCCACTAGACTCCTGAAGGTGTGCTGGGGTATCTGTCACCAACATGTTAGCAATAGATCCTGCAAGTCCTGCAACTTGCGAGGTTGGGCCTCCGTTGATTGGACTTGTTTGTCATCCTAGAGATGAAGGTTTGGATTGAGATCTGGGGAATTTGGAGAACAATTCAGCACCTCAAACTCATCCCTGTGCTTTTCGAACCTTTGCTGAACCATTTCTGCTGAAAGAGGCCACAGCCATCCATGAAAGGGTGTACATGGTCTGAAACAATGATTAGGTACATAGTATATAAGTGTAGCAGCACGAGGTGGGAATAAAGTAAATACTCTTCACAGTTTAAAAGACAACGCCACCCTGGGAATTTCACCCAGAAGAATACTGGAAGTAATACTGATCACCAAGAAGGCACTTAGGTTTGTTATACTCAGCACAGAGACGAGGTTCGATGATAAAACAGTTTGACAATTTATTAATAAGCGGCATGTATATGGCCGCTGTCCACGCTGACTTCCACTTTAAAAGGCTGGCAGCAGCAGGAAAAGAAACCTCGCGACAGGAACAGACGGTAAAAGCAAAGCAGCAGCACTTCAGTTAGCGTAGCGTTCTGTAAAACTAAGGCCCACACTTCCTGCAAAGCATAGTAAGTATTTATTATAAAAGAACAATAAAAGGCAGAGATCGTAACAAAACTGAGTAAACAGCGTCACGAATCATGAGCAGAGTGGCTCATAGGAGGCTTCTACAGCTACGACCTAAAAACAATACCTGTTTACCACCAAGGTAATGTACGCACTACAATGACAAAACACCTTCCAGCCGCGATGGAGGCTTCAGAAGGGTAACCCGCAAATGATCTCTGCAACACCAAGGGAAGTCAGGTGACCAAAAAGGAGATCACAGGTAAGCGATCCAGGAACGCTCAAATGGCCACTATTTATAGTAGCGCCCCCCTAATGCGTCAGGCCGAAAGTGGGTTGAACCGAGAAATAACATTCATCCTGCCACATGGCATAAGTAACATCCACATGGATGGCAGGACCCAAGGTTTCCCAGCAGAGCATTACCCAAAGCATCACACTGCCTCTGCTGGCTTGTCTTCTTCCCATAATGCATCCTGGTGCCAGGTGTTCCACAGGTAAGTACAAACACCCATCCATCCACATGATGTAAAAGAAACAGTCATCCATCAGACCAGGCCACCTTCGATTGCTCCACGGTCCAATTATGATGCTCACATGCATCATAATTGGACGGAGATCAGCATGGGAACCCTGACTGGTCTGCAGCTAACTAATTTACATCCTTATATTATGCCTCATTGGTGTATATGACATTGAGAAGGGGCATGTGAGAAGTTAAAACAGTGACCTGATGGCTCTGTTATACTCTGGGAAGCAGTTTGCTGACATGCTTTGGGTCCATTTCTCAGTTATTCAGTGGCTAATTATCCAGTGTCAGTGGTCTCTTTGAGGATGACAATGCTTCCATTAAAAGGACACGAGGAGTCGCTGCATGACTTAATGAGCATTAAAGTTATGTAAATTATTTCTTATGGCCTTCAAAATTACCAGATGTCAACCCAAAATTGGACACCTGTGGCAGATTTTAGACTGATGTGTCAGATGACGTTCTCATCCAAACACCAAATGAGGAAATATCTTTTGCAAGAGCGGTGTTTAATCCCTCCAGTTGAGAGTCGGTGCCAAGGCTCATTGAAGTTATCCTGGCAGGATGTGGTGGCTCAGCACCTACTAAGACACTTTGTTGTTTTTTCCCTGTAATTTATCATCCATTTGTATTAGGGCCCTGTGTGGAAAGATTGATGATGTCATTTTTTAGGAAGGCAGTTTCTAGAAAGTGTATTTCCCCAAGTATCGCACAGTGGATATTTGTGCAGATGCCCCACTGTTTCTGCAATGATTGTGCAAAAAACGATCCTAAAAAGTACAGTTCTTTTTCTTTGGAGCAAAGTGAGCCTAGTAATCATGATGGTTTCATTAACACCCTGTAGTCTGCACTCACACAGTACATCAAGCATCAGGGGGAAGTAGCAGCACTTGTTCCTGCAGCTCTGTTGTGTTTACAGTTAAACTTGATTGCAGAACTCATTGCAGCCTCATATTCACTTCCTTTGTTAATCCCTTTGCTGTAGCAACTCTTTTTTTGGAGGCAAGGGTGAGGGCAGGGGGAATTTCACTTCTGCTTTGCTTCACCCCCTACATCATTCACCAAGGCGCTTATAAGGAGCCACCATATCCTGCTAAAACAAACAGCATTGAGGAGCAAGAAACAAACGCTTTTGTCTTTGAGTTATATTTAGTTACAGTCTGCCTTCACCCAAACACCATCTCACACAAGGCTTGCTTGCCCTCAGATTGAATTAGATCAAATATGACCATGTTGTCATCTACCAGAAACCAGCGGCACTTCTCCCCCCCATCCCTTTGCAAATTGGCGGGTTGACTGTGCTGACAGTCAACCCGCACACACGAACCACCTAATTCTGCCATGCTTTCCAATTAGTCACTGCCATGATGGTGACGTCTAGGACGTATCATTTGCGAGCATAAATATTCATGCATTTCCATTTCTTCAAGAACAGATTCTGTTCATGATATTTGTCACACTGCTGCTGCTGCTGCTGCTGCACCTCGGGCTTCTGTAATGCTCATGCTTTCCTAGCTCCCCCTTCACTGATGTTCTGATTCCTACAAGCCCTGCAGGCCATGGCTCCTCAGAGAGCAGTGCGGTCCAGAAGACAGGAAACAGCTTGAGAGAAGCACAGCAGTCAAGGCTGTGGGAGGACAGAGGATAGGGTGGGGAAAAAGGGGATTTCCTCATACAATGCTTGGACTTTTATCAAAAGTGTGGAATCCTTATCTGCCGTGCACTCTATGAGTGAGTGATAAAATCTGGGTCGCTCCCCTTGCCATTGGTGTGTATATTGCTTTAGGGTTCTGTGATTTACAGTTTTGCTATCTATCAATCTATCTGTTAACTTTATGTAGATTAATTCACCCCCACCCCCTGCCACTACTACCGCCACATCCGTTAAACAGCCATGATGGAGTCATTTTATTGTTGCCAAACTTTCCAGCATGCAGTTATTATATGCAAATATCTCAACAGACTCTCCTTTTGCATCTCTATCAAACATACTGTTTGTCTTAAAGGCTACACGCCCACGGGGCTTCATTATAGCGGTGATTAAATCACGATTAATTATTAAGAGGCTCTGAGATGTTTTTGAAGAGGTGGGGGGTGTCTATGCTCGCTGTGTCTTTAAAGTCGTGCAGAGGGGAGCCCGTACTAAAGAAAGGAGGGGGCTGCTGTGCGCCAGTTGGAGGTATCTGCCTGTCGCAGCGCTTGCTGTTGACATTAAGAAGAGCGTGTCGGTGGTCCAGCGGGGAGGTACAGAGCGATCGGAAGACACTGATACTAAAGACTGAAGCAGGTCCAGGCAAATATTCAGCAGACCCGTGATACATGGATGGACAGAGAAGCACTGCAATCGGGATTAAGTTGTCAGCCGGCGCGAGAAATTTCTGGATATAATGGGAAATTCAACACCTAAACCTTTGATAGGTGAGGCTCATTACTGATTTATCATTAACGAGGCTGGTAATGTTTACACAAGATAGGGTGTCTGTGCGGAACGGTTTGATACCCAGTGATACACATGGCTTGTCCTGCTTGTGTTCGCTCTGCGTACAGACGCGCTTCCCATCACGGGGGCGCAGAGCGTGATTCCCAGGGAGCGAGTCCAAGCGAGCGCTCCAGCAGCAGCAGCAGTCGCGTTTCTCCTCATAATCACTTTGAAGGCATCATTTACGAGGTTTATACAAAGGGATGTGGCCTCAAAATTTTGAGAGCATTAGCATCGAAAATAGTCAGAAAAGTGACTATTTAAGCTAATGCTGGGGATCTGATGCTTGGGCATTAATAAACTGTAGCTACATAAATAATATGGCAGTTATTTAGCTCATAAATAACTACAGAACATACAGTGAGGAAGTGGGTAACCTGCCCTCAGTTATATTTCTGTTTGCAAATTAGTTGAACATACAACACTTACATTAAATTGATTTAAATTTTAAGCATTTTGTTTATTTATTTTCATTTTTTTAGTGTCATCATTGCTATGATAAACAAGGATTTAGCTTTCCCCCCCTTTTTACTTCCCGCTTCCTTTTTTTCTCTTTATGTGTGGCACTAACAGCAAATATCTGGCTGTTTATTTGCCTTAGATTCTGGTATGATTACAGACTAAAATCACCAAGGGCACGCACTACAAGGACACATCAAGAAGCAAAACAAGAAAAATCACCACAAACAGTAACTGAACAAATATGAAACTAGGCCACATTCTTAATATATGCAACTATATTTGCTGCTGATCGCTTCCAGTATCTCCGAGTATCAGAGGTGTTTTATGTAAAGTACAGTCTCAAGTGATTGCCAGTGATTTGCATGTGGGTTGATTGTCAGCCCCTAGTTTTTGAATAAAGCTGCTGTAATGAGCTCTCAGAATGCCTCCTTCTGAGCCACTTTATGGTGACACCTAGAGCACATTACTTGATAATCAGTTCCACATATCACTTTGATTTAATGTCTGTCACCCTCTCACGCCCCCATCAGACCCACTCACTGGCTAAACGATGTGGTTGCTGCCAGAGCAGCTGAAGTGGGGTTTGGCCTGAGAATGTTTAGTCATAGAAAAACAGGAGCAGCCTGGATCCTATTAATGTTTTAATCAAATATCTGCATTTATGCAATCCATATCACAGAGTATATCTTCTCATCGCACAGAGTTATTTTGTTGGCTTTAGAGGTGATTACCAGGAAATTCCCTTAAAATCCACATTGTCTTGCTCACTGAATCATTTACAATGTGATGAACACATACGTCTGAGACATATGAGTGACTAAAGAGCCTGATCATCTCGTGGCCAAAGATAACTCTGATGAATGCACATAATCAAATTTACTATCAAAAAGCTCTCTTTGGCACGGCAGTTTGTCTTGTGAAGTCTTATGATTGCATTTATTTGCGCTTTTTTCTATTCATCAAGAGCAAGACAACGTTCCCATGCCCCAACTCTTCTCCAAAGCCAACTGATTCATGTACGGTAGCAGATACTGAATATGCTGTATGCGAGGAATTTGTCTGACGGCAATAACCTCCACCACCACATTAGCTGAACTAAAAAAAACAAACAATTTCTGATCAGCTGCCTGGACTTTGTTCACTGTAAAATGGCTCCAGTTCAGATTAGATTGCAGAGATTTCTGATTTTGAATCTTAATTTAAGCTTCTTTCCAGAAAGCTGCAGATGACTTAGAAATGAGTGACAGATTGAAGGAATAACCAGTGGACAGAATCAGTCAGAACAGGAAAGTGGATGGCATTTTTTAATGCGCTGGTCCAAAAAGGTCCTATAGCTGTTCTCTTGGGTTTATTTCTGGCAGCTATGAAGGCCATAGAATACCTCGCAGTGACCCATTGTACCTGTCTTCTAGAGGGACTGATGACCATTTTTTAAATATATTCCCCCACATGGTGTCGTGATTAGGACAGTGGACTGCGTTATTTAACATCCTGGTCCAAAAGGTCTTACAGCTGCTCAGTTGGGTTGAAATCTGGCGGCTATGAAGGCCATAGAATACCATGCACTGATCCAATGGCTCAAACACTGATCCAATGGCTCAAAGCTATGACTTCATTCTCACACTAGCAAAGTAGTTTTGGTGTGGATTGTTTCAGATGGTAGGAATGAACAACTAGAGTGAATGCTCAGCAGAGGATTCGCTTGTTAAAAGATGTTTCAAAGATGACTCTGCCAAATGGTGGCAGGTTTACTAAATGGCATACGGACACTTTGAAAGATCACTGGGTACTTATTTTTCATAAAGAAGTACCCAGTGATCTCTGTGGCACCAATGTAATGTGTATTCATGAGAGAAACCAGCTAGGGCTAACACAGACCTTGCTGTGAGCTGTCCCTTGCTGCATGACCTGTTGTGCTATGCCTTTCATCTAATAATGGCAAACAAGTGTCTATATCAGGCTTGGTCCTTTAACTGCAGACTCCCACTATGTCACTCTGTCAGCAAGGCAGATGAGCTGAAGGCCTATAGGCTAAGCCCCAACATAGTCTGGCCAACTCCATTTGACCAAAGTATATTTTACTCTTTCAAAAGCTAAATTCCTAGAGTGGAAAGGGAAGGGGCACCAGCACATCATTTGAGATGTTACAGATGTTCTTGCTGCTGCTTCATAGTTTAGAATATAATCAGTGATAATGTCTAATTTAGGAAATGTACTGTGGAACATTTCACTGAGTTATTGTCTTTTTCGCTGTGAATTTTAAACAAATGTAATCACTCTGCGGCCCCGGTGGAGTGTAGAAACCCAGCATCCCTTTGAAAATTGAATCTGAGCCAATCTATACCTTAAACAATAGTCTAAAGCTTTAATGCCATTTAATAGTTAACCCAAGCCCCCCCCACCCCAGCTCTCTCTTAAGATACTTTATGGTTTGTCCTGTTTGATTCCTGAACATTGTTAATTTGTTTTGCTCATAAAGAAATTCCTTTCCCCAGAAGGGCATTGACTCCTATGAAGATGAGATCAAAGATTAAGCTTTTTTTATTTGGGTATTTCTATACTGACTAGGCACTGTGTGATTCATCCACCACTTCTGAAGATAACTGTGGAAGAATCAAAGGCGTTATTCAGGGATTTTAGGCCACGGATGTGTGTACCTCATAAATAGGAGGAAATCTTAAAATGATTTTTATTATTCTCTCTCTCTCTCTCTCTCTCTCTCTCTCTATATATATATATATATATATATATATATGACACGCGCACACACACACACGTATCTATCTATATATATCTATATATAGATAGATACGTGTGTGTGTGTTTATGTTACTTTTAGCCAAGCCCACTACTTTTTATGTTTCCCGGTGTTGCGTGGACATGGTTTTGACTAAATTTACAGTATTTCATTTTGAGATATAAATACCTCTTACGGATGTGGTGAGATGACTGATTTGGGACAGTTTGCCTTTTTATACTGTAAATATGGACTACATGCTAAAAGAAACTCCTTGTTGGGAAGAGCAGAGTTTTTAAAAACTTATTATGGGGAATAAAGTATGCAACTTTGGGCTTACCTCTGACCTCTAAACCAGCTATATATATATAATTAGCATGCTCTTTATTGCCTTTTTTCTCTATTGTACCTCTTTTCTCTACTAGTAGATACAACTCTGCAACCCCGCCCGGTGGCTACTCGGCAGTATTACACCCTGCCTAACAATGGGGCAGCTGTTGAGAGAAGAACGTCTGCTCCCCCAGTCAGTATCAACATGGAGTCACCTCGCTTTCACCCACATGCTAAAGGCAAGAACATCAGGCTGGATGGGCAGCTTCGGCGTGCCACCCGTAAGAACAGTTTCTGCAACGGCATCACTTTCAGCCATCGGCCTGTGCACCTTTATGAAAAGGTTTGTTTACTTTCCTTAATTAGTTTTGAGACTTTTTAAGGAGGTATTCATTTAAAGAATCAAAGTAAAAGGTTATTTCACTGTGTCATTCAGGTGCGTCTTCGCTTGACTGGTGTGCACACTGGATGGAGTGGAGCTTTACGTTTTGGTTTTACTAGCTTGGATCCCAGTGAATTAGCTGCTGCTGATATCCCCAAGTATGCTTGCCCAGACCTGGTGACTCGGCCCGGTTACTGGGCCAAGGCTCTGCCCGAGAGACTGGCCCTGAAGGACAACATTTTGGCTTTCTGGGCTGATCGCCATGGAAGAGTTTTCTATAGCATCAACGAAGGCGAGCCCATCCTCTTTCACTGTGGACTCAGCATCGGCTGTCCACTGTGGGCCATCATAGATATCTACGGCATCACTCAGGAGGTCACACTGCTTGGTAAGCATCTTCTTATGTTGTATTCTCACCCTAATCAAATGCTTATGTTTTCTGTTGGGACTGCAGCTGAGTGAGGCGAGCCGCGAACTTTTTGGAAAAGGATGAAAATAACTTTACTCAGCTTCATCAGTCAGCTAGAACGCTTTAACTGCAGTGACATATTTTTATGGTTTTAACACATTCACAGCAAATTCAAGCAGCTTCTTGGGAGTTCTACAAAGCCCTGCAGCACCACAGGATGAGTTTGTAGGAGTAGTCAGTTTGTAGTGAGTAGTCGGTTCAGCCTGAGCACTTCAAACCACTCTTCTTCTCCTCCTTTCAAACTTTCTTACTATCAGTTTCCTGCACTTTATTACATTCTCCCTTGACTCTGCCATCATTCCCATCACCCTTTCCCCTGCGCTTCCCTCTCATATGTACTGGGTGTGTTTATCTTCAGTCTGACAGGAGCTCTGGCCTTGTTTGGTCAAGTCGGCAGATCCCAGGAGCTTTGGTAAGGGGCCAGTGTGCTCAACTGTTCCTGCATCACTAGAAATAGTAATAAAGGAATGCATCATAAGTCAAAGGAGGACTACTAGTGGCAGACTTGTTTATATCAGTCTCTAAAACAGACAATTTCAGCTGTGCTATGGATTCTCTGCATGGACTGCGGCCGTTTAGAGAGCACACAATGGCAAAGAAAGGAAATGAAATAGGGAGGCAAATAAAATATTGAATGACACACGAGCTCAGGACCAACAGAGCTTATTTGTTCTGAGAGGGAAGGTTTATTTAATGGCACAACAAACATCATAACAAGAGCGGCGTATGAAGGGCTCTAAGCACAGATGCTTAGTCTAGCTCTCTTTGGAGTGTCCGTCAAGAGGATTTATCAGAAAGGATGTCAGCAAACTGTTGTTGCTTACTGTGTGAAAGTCATGTTTGATTTCTTATTTCAAAGCTGCTTGCTGTCAGCAACGGTAAGAATAAGCATTAAATACCACCACGGATAGACAGAAGTGCTTTTGCAGAAATGTCATAGATGCCAAGATGTCTTTTTTTCTCTGTCTTTTTTTAACACAACGCTCAAGGTGAGAATTGCTTTACACTGCTAAAAAATACAGGAAATCCTCAAAAACCTTAATGTACTACTTTTCATAGTTGTTTATTAATGAGCAATGTGTCTGAAACAGGTCCATTTATTTGTTATTATTTTTTGTTTGTTCTCTTTATAGCTAAAAAATCCCAATTATTGCATGATTTCGAAATATTAAATCTAATTATTTTCTGTTGTTTTATTTTGAAGCATTTATTGCTTGAAAGAAAACAACTGAAAAAGTCAAACTTGTATTAAGGGCCTTGTTACCATTGTTTTCCTATAAGAATTCCCACAGTATGTGATAATCAGATCAATTATTGGGTACTTACCTCACCAAAAAAAAACAACAACAACAACTAAAAAAGCACATTGCAAAGACATCAAAGAGTCTGCAGCAACACAAATAGGATCCCAGGGCTTACTGCTTTCATGTCATAGTTTTACTATGAAAAGGCATTCCTAGAACAAAGAGAAAAGGAACACCAAGAAAGGAAGTGACCTGAGCTTATCTGGGAAGAATCATGTAATTCTATGTCCAAGTCACGTACTTGCTTTTCCATATTTTCCACCACAGACAGCACGTTTGCTGAGAGTGTGGGATCCAGCTGCCTGAGTGCGGCCCGTCTGAGTGCCTATCTCCCCCAGAGTAGCCACGACTCAGCCAATTACAGCAACAATCAGTTGGAAAACAACCAGGCGGCTGCTGCCAAGATGGCCAACCTCCAGCTCAATAACTACACTCAGCTCATCCCCTGCTGCTCCTCCACCTCTTCCTCCTCCACATCATCCTCATCTGCTTCCACTGGATTCATTGTCCCAAGGGTGGTCCGGGGTCTCTCTTCTCCTCTGGACAATGATTTGCACTTTCACCTCATCCGTGGCTCTGATGTAATACTCTCTGCAGACCGTTCAGCTGCTTGCATTCATTTTCTGGACAGCAGTCGGACTCTGGTGTTCACTGACAGGCCCTTTCACGTGGGTGAGACTTTGTACGTGGAGGTTGGCCACCTGGGCCTGCCATACTTTGGGGCGTTGTCATTTGGTTTAACATCCTGCGACCCAGCTAGTCTAGATGCTGGGGACCTTCCAGCAGACCCTGAAGTTCTTCTGGACCGCAAAGAGTATTGGGTGGTGCACCGGGTCTTCCCGATGCCTTGCTCTGGAGACGTGCTCAGCTTCAGTCTGCTGCCCAGTGGAGAGGTGCACCACGGGGTGAACGGAGTGGGACGTGGCAGGCTGATCTGTGTGGACTCCTCTCAGGTCCTGTGGGCCTTTTTCACCCTGCATGGGGCTGTTAACAGACTCAGGATACTTGGTACGTGTATTTAAAGCAGCACACAATCGATATCAAGAATCAAACCCCGATATTTATTATTCCTTTTTCACTGTAATTCCCAATGTCCTTGAATTTTATTAAGGTAATTAGTCCAATTAGATCAGAAGGAAAACCAGAAAGAAAAACAAAAAGTACTAAATATAAAAGTTACAGGTCTTAGGTAATATCACTGCATTACATAAAACAGATTGCAGTGTTTCGTAATGTGCCTCAATTGATGTCACTTGAGTCAGTGTCATTCAAGGCTAAGGACTACTAGCATGCAGATGAAATAAATATCTAAGGGTAAGGAGTTTGAAAGAAGTTGCCAGACCTCTGTAGCTTACTCCTCATCTCTTTGAGGCTGCCAGTTTCAGACTACATTACCATAGACTGTAGGGACTTGCCCACCACAACTTTACCAGTTTGTTTGCCAGCATGCATTTGCAGCCCTGACTTTAGCAGTACCCAGGGTTAGACGAAATACATTATTTTAAGTTAGAAGTTATCAGCTAATATTAGCAAGCTTGGTGAGCAAGGTATACGTCTATGGTATCCATATGTCTATGGATCTTAACAACAGTCACCTTAAGGCACTATTGTAAGGTAAAGACCCTACAATATTAGAGGCAGAATTCTAATAATCAGTCGGCTGTTGGCAACAGTGGGAAGGAAAAAACTCTCTTTTGACAGGAAGAACCAAGCTTAGGGAGTGGCAGCTATCTGCCATGCCCCGTTGGGGTTGAGTTGAAAGAAAAAAAAAGACAGCATAGGGAGACAGGACTAAAAACACACTTTGGAGAGAGAAGACAAGATTTAATGTCATACAGCACTGGTGTATAAACACATGGGAAGTGGAGGAGAATAGCTCCAACATCCTGAGCTTATAGCAGCATAACTAAGGGATGATTCAGAGTCACCTGATTCAGCCCAAACTCAAAGCTTTATTATAAACGAAAGCTTTAAGCCTAATCTTAAAACTGCCTGTTGCCTGAGTCCAAATTAGGAGCTGGTACCACAGGACAGGGGCCTGATAGCTGAAAATGCTGCCTCTTATTCTACTTTTAGAAGCTCTAGGAACCATAAATAAGCCTTCCCTCTGAGAATGAACTGGTCTATTAGGATAAAATGGTATCATGAGGTCTTCAACGTATGATGAGGCCTGATTTTTAAAAGTTTTGTATGTAAGGAGATGAGTTTTAACTTCAGTTCTCAGTTTAGCAAGCGAAGAGAAACCAATATTGGAGAAATATGATCTCTCTTGTAATGAAATATAACAATTCAGCCTTGAAGTAATGAGTGCAAGAATTAGGTTTTTCAGCATCACTCTAAGAGACGGTGTTTCTAATTTTAGAGATATTGTGCATTTGAATGAAAGCAGTCATTTTATTTGTTTAATGCGCACGCAGAAGGACAAAGATGGACTTAATTTTGTCTGAATCTAGGAGAAGAAAATTACATGACATCCAGTCCTTTACGTATTTAAAATGCGCCTGTTGATTAACTAATTTCTTTGATTCGTCATCTGACGTCACACATAAATAAAACCAGGTATCGTCCATTAAGCAAAGAAAATATATACCATATATTCTAATAATATTGCCTCAAGGAAGCACTCATAACATAAAAAGTAGTGGTCCCAGCACACAACCCTGTGGAACTCCATAATTACCTTTGAAGTCTTGTTCACATGCACAAATAACTCCACAGCTGGGCATATTGTCAGTGAGGAATTTGCATTAAAACTGTGTCACAAAACATCAACAGCAACTCCAAAAAATGGTTAAGGCCTCCATTTACAAGTGCAGTGTAGCAGATAGCCACCTACTAAGCTTGTCAGTTTTATATTAGCTGCTACTAGCAAAAGACACATCTATTGTAATCAAAGACAAAAAGACAAGAAGACTCTTTGGTACACTCTAGCTTTGAATTACTTTACCTAAGAATTTTTGGTCTGATTCTTTTATAAACTTGTTTACATTATGTTTAAAAAAACTGCAATAAAGAGAAGGCACAAAAATAACTGAGATATCATGTGATCAAAATTCCTCTTGTTCAGTCATGACTGAGAAGTTGCCTGTTGTTTTCCCACTCAGTAAATAGGTTACGCCTTTAGCCTGGGCATGTGTCATTTCCTGTGTTTTGTTTTTTTGTAAGTGTATTCATTTGGCCTGAGTGGATTTCCAGCTAATCCCCCAACAGCATGCCCTTACTTGTTTCACTGACTCTCAATGTTTAAAGTTTAAAAAGGAAACAACTTTTAAAGTCACATGTCTCTTGAAACAAGCAGACTAATGAACAAATCCATGCAGAGAGGGAAGTGAATCTAAGTCTATAGTTCCTGCCCTATAATCTCCAAACAAAATGAGTGTGGGAGAGTAAAAAAAAACAAACTATGTGATACCTTCTTCTGTGCACAGTGATACTGTCTGTGGCATGCAGTTCTGTATATGTGGAGACAAGCTTATGTAATGTACAGAACAAGAGTGGCATCAATCTTCATATTCATCTCTTTGACACAAAATAAATGAGCATATTTCCGTAAAATGTTTTGCTTTAGTACTAAAATAATGAAAGTCTATTCTACCCCCTACAATTCATTTTTTCCCAGGCTGAAGGAATTTGAAGGCATTTGAATAGTTTACGTCTATGTGAGCTTGTTCAGCCTTGAGCTGTGACCTCTCTTTCCTAGTCTCATTTTTAACGGTTTCTGATCCCCCGATTTTCTCCTAAAAGAAAAAGTAAAATCAGTCCACAAAGGACACGTGCATATCTAATCTGACTGGTTAGACATGGTCAGAATAAATCCCAAATCTCTAGTGTTACTGTCAAACATTTCAAGGGCACATTGCCCCAGAACATACCAGCTACACAGCTCACCTTTAAAAGCCACTACATTATATGGAGTTTGTTCATGTGTATTTATATTTGCGACACAGGAACATTGCAGTCCAGTCCTCCTTCTACATCCCCCACCACTTCACAGAGCAGCAGCCCAGATGACAGTGACTCAGACCTGGCATTCAGTGTCAACAGATCCTCCTCTGCCTCTGAATCCTCTCTGGGTAAGTTGCCAAATGTTGACAACATACCCAAGGCTACAATGTATATAGAAGCCCTCTCAAGATCACTGTAATAAGGGTTTGTGTGGGTTCTTGTATTATGTATGACCAACAATCAGTTGATTAAGCCCCAGTAAACTCTGCTGCTGTATTAAGCATTGATAATTTAGCAAATATTTAGGTCTCAGATTAAGACTGGCTCATAAATTAAAAAGGCATGTAAAAGTAGACATAAAACGAACTCATTCACAAATGAATAAAAGCAGTAGTAGTGCTGATCTGAACCTGGAATTTTCTTCCTATAACAACATGACCTAAAGGTATCTGTCTGCATGCACCCGTGTCTGCTCTTTTTTAAAAATACCCACATATGTTTTCTTGCTTTTTTCTCCAGTGACTGCTCCCAGCTCGCCTCTCAGTCCTCCCACCTCTCCGGCTCTCACTGCCTCAGAACTGCCCTCTGCAGGAAAAAACGGAGAATGCACCGTTTGCTTTGACCAAGAGGTCGACACAGTTATCTACACCTGCGGACACATGTGCCTGTGCAACGACTGCGGGCTCAAGTTGAAAAGACAGATTAATGCCTGCTGTCCGATATGCCGGAGGCCTATCAAAGATGTTATCAAAACATATCGGCCGTGATGGCTCAAAAGTTCAAACAGGTGAGGTGACTTCCGCTGTGGGATACCACCTGTTGCTCCTTCTCAGGCTTTGCTGTACACGTGTACATGGATCTTGATCCCAACTGGAGATTAGCCACACTAGGACATAACTGTGCCTATCAGATTTTATACCTTGAGACAGACTGAACTGTGTTGAGGCTCATTTTTAATACACAGTATCCATACATGAGCACCGGGTTCTGGCTATGAAAGAAGAGATGAAACCCGTGCTCCCGTTTTGTATTTCCCATGTGATGTTACATCTATTCGTTGAGCAGAAAAAGCCTCTCCTGAATATCTCGTTTGTCATCGTCATCGTCCTAGAATTATGTGTGCTTTAGCAGAATATGCGGACCATCATCTATGACTTCTAGTGCCTTAGATTTTTGTCACATAATGTGTCCAAGTAATTATACTAACAATCCTAGCCATATTTCCAATGTACAGTACTAAAAGTTTGTGGTGGGAAAGGGCACAGAATTTATGCAATAAAAGTTGTAGTAGTAGGTAGAAAGAAGGTTCTAGTATATATGAGTGTGTTGGATTTGAATGTTTGAAAAGTGTAATAGAAAGGACCCGGCTTTGCACAACGTGAGATTAATAAAATGATTTAAGTGTGTTTAAGTGTGTCGCCTTCCTTATTAACACTTATACAGAACTTTAAAAAGCACCCATGATCTGATGAAGTTGTGTAATCAGAGTTCAGTTTGTAGAAATGTAGTTTTGTATAGCATTACATTATACTTTTTATTGTTTAATATTGCAGAAACGTTTATAGCATATAGAATTTTTTATGATTTTACAAATTGTTGTACAAAAGGTCTTGAGACACCCCTAATTTCTTTATATTTTGCTAGGAAAATGGGAAGTAGGTGCAGTCATTTATTGCTATAAATCTATTGATTTAAACATGCATGGCAACACAGTACAGAAGGCAAAAACAGAGCTTGTACAGTTCTAACAGGCTTGAAAGTTATCATTTGGTGTGACAACCTTTATTCTTAAACCCAGTCTAAACTCTTAGACAAGCTTTCTTGTAATTTCTCTGAGTAGTCTTCATTCCATCAGACCTGTTGCCACCGATATCAGTCCAGTTCTTGTAAACTTGGCATACCTCACCCCTTTCTCCCTGTTTCTCTTCCTTGTGAATGGTTTCTTGACAGCCACCCTTCCACTGTGACCATTTCTGATGAGGCTTCAGTGAACAGTAGATGGATTACTTGGATGGGTCAGCTGGATCTCGCAGGTCCAGCAAATCCAGGCCTTTGCTGGATTTTGCTGTTTTCTTAAAGTCATGACTTTCAGATACTGTTCATCTGCGTAGTTTTTATGTCCGTCACTTCTACTTGTACAGTTTCCTCCAAGTTTTTTTTAATGACACACTGGACACAATGCAGAGATTTGGGAACCACCTTGTTGGTGTAAAAGTACAGTTTTATGTCTGTCAAACTGTCTTTGGCAGTTTTTGTACCTTCAACTAAACAAATTGGAACAAACTGTGTTTTTTGTGACAGACTGTTAACAACAAAGTGCCTGTAGAGCTATCTATCTATCCTGTCCCATCTAGGGTACACCCTGAACAGATCGCTAGGGCCAACCATTCACACTTATAAGCAATTTAGAATTAACCTAACCGCGCTCACCGCATGTCTTGGTAGGAAGCCAGAACCCACGTAAACACAAAAGCATGCACACTCCACACAGAAAGGCCCAGGCCAGATGGTGGATATGAACCCAGGACATTTTTGCTACGAAGCAATAGTGCTAACCACTGCTCTACCGTGCTGCCAAAGGCCAAATTATATTATTTAAAATTGGTTCTTTGAGTGACACAACACTGGTTCATCCATTGAGTTTATTGCATCTTTTTTCATGACTGATCCACAGGTCAGTGTGTGGTGCCTTAAGAAACCAAACCAAACATTCCTCTGAAATGGTCAGGTAGAAGGACTGGACAGAAAACAAGCGAAAAAGGAACCAAAGAAAAACTTTGAAAAACTTCAGAAAGCCTGGAGAACAGCACATGTGTAATGCTGTGGTTATACTGTGGACATGACATCAGTGAGATGCTAATTACTCTCCAGCTCTGTCATGGGTATATAAATATGAACCTTGTTGGTAAGTGGTTAGCCAGAAGCTCTTAGTTTAAAAATCACAAGTTTATGGGTTTATGGTTGTGGGTTTGTTTTGGAGTGGCTGAAAATCAAATGCTGTAAGTTGGGCCAAATGTTCATGATTTTCTCAGAAGTTGCCAGAGAATGTAGTTACAGTCAAGCAGCTCACATCAAATAAAAGCTAATGTTGCTGCAACTATATGTTAACCAGTGATCAAACCAGACAGAGAAGCTATGGTTAGGGTATATTCAAAGTATAAAGGCATTTTAGAATACACAAAATATCTACATTTATAGATAGATAGATAGATAGATAGATAGATAGATAGATAGATAGATAGATAGATAGATAGATAGATAATATGAAACAAGATATATGGAAATAACAATAACTTTAAATATATTTATATATTAGATTCCTCAAAGTATCCACCCTTTGCTTTGTTGACAGTGGTGGAAACCCTCGGCCTTCTCTCAATGAGCTTCATTATGTAGTCACCTGAAATGGTTTTCACTTCACAGGTGTGCCTTGTCAGGGTTCATTTGTGAAATTTCTTGCCTCCTTAATGGGGTTGGGACCATCAGCTGTGTTGTGCAGAAGTCAGGTTGGTACACAGCTCACAGCCCTATTTGACAATTGTAGGATTTATTTTATGGCATGAACCAAACCGCTAAGTAAAGAGAAACGACAGTCCATCATTACTTTAAGAAGTGAAGGTTGGTCAGCCTGGAAAATTGCTAAAACTTTGACTGTGTCCACAAGTGCAGTTGAAAAAACCATCAAGAGCTATGCTGAAATGTGCTCACATGAGGACGGCCCAGGAAAGGAAGACCAAGACACTCTTCAGTTTTGTTTTTGTAGCCATTTCTCCTGTTGCTGGGTTTTAAAAAGTGGGGGTTTTAATTTTTGTGAACAAGACCTTCTCATGACTCATCGAGTGATGCCACTGATCAGCCAATCGGTGGCATGCAGTCTGATGATGTCACACTTTAGTACCTGCCCATATCACTTCGAACCGAGCAGCGGTGAGCAGGTACTAAAAAACTTTCTTGGTACTAGTAGGGTGACTAACGGTCCTCTTTTTTTGCACTTCTTGACTTGTAAAAGCCTATATGACATTTTTTATTTCACCATTCATTAACCGCACAGAGAAGACATCGTTTAAATATGTTAAAGTTTTCTTTAAACAAACAGTTAAAGTTCTTCATGACTGGGCCAAGTGTCCTCTTTTTTGGAAATCAAATATGGTCACCCTAAGTTCTAGGTACTATAACCTAAAGGAAAACCCTAAAAACTGTGGTGAATGGTGCCAAGTCGACCTGAGTCGGTACTAATGGAAAAGGGGCTAAGGAGTCACCTCTGCTGCTAAGGATTAATTCATCACCAACCTCAGAAATCGCAAGTTAACAGCACCTCAGATTAGAGCCTAGATAAATGTCACACAGAGTTCCAGTAGCAGACACATGTATTTGGCCTTTATGGTCAAATAGCTACTAAGAAACCACTACTAAGGAAAAGCAACAAGCAGAAGAGATTTGTTTGGGCCAAGAAACACAAGGAATGGATATTAAACCAGTGCAAATCTGAGCTTTGGTCTGATGAACCCAGATTTGAGATCTTTGGTTCCTCCTGGCGTATCTTTGTGTGACGCAGAAAAGGTGAACGGATGGTCTCTACATGCATGGTTCCCACAGTGAAGCGTGGAGGAGGAGGTGTAAGGGTGTGGGGGTGCTTTGCTGGTGACACTGTTGGGGATTTATTCAAAATTGAAGGCACAGTGAACCAGCATGGCTACCACATCATGCTGCAGCGACATGCCATCCCATCTCATATACTTGGACCATCATTTATTTTTCATCAGGACAATGACCCCCCTCTCTTAATGGTAGTGGGAACCTTTTATTCCAGGCTGAATTTTGGCTTCCTCCTCTATAATGAATGACACTGTAGAATATTAAAATATGTGATGACTTTTACAGTCAAGCAAAACAGACTACCAAAAACTTGCTTTGATCAGACCTGCTGCAGAGCCTGAAGCGTTTTTGGGGATGAAAACAAGTCTGACTCCTGAAAGTCCACAGTGTCAGCTTCTCTGACTTTTATTTGGGGAGTTGATGCCAATATTATTTTGTGTGTCACATTGGCTCCATGGTGCATATTATAGTCACATTCCCTCTCTTTACCCCCCGCAGACCTGACATTTTTATTACATTTTACCTGACCCTACAGCCACTCTCTTATTCTTCCACTTTCAGCTGCTTTTTTTAGGGGTCATCATAGATCCATCCATCCATTCGCTTCCGCTTATCCTTTTCAGGGTCGCGGGGGGTGCTGGAGCCTATCCCAGCTGTCATAGGGCGAGAGGCAGGGTACACCCTGGACAGGTCGCCAGTCTGTCGCAGGGCTAACACACAGGGACAGACAACCATTCACACTCACACCTAGTGGCAATTTGGATTATCCAATTAACCTATCCCCACAAGCTGCATGTCTTTGGACGGTGGGAGGAAGCCGGAGTACCCGGAGAGAACCCACGCAAACACGGGGAGAACATGCAAACTCCACACAGAAAGACCCCGGCCTGATGGTGGAATTGAACTCAGAACCTTCTTGCTGTGCGGCAACAGTGCTAACCACTGTGATCATCATAGATCATCTGCCTTAATCTCATCCTATTTCCAGCATCCTCCTCTGACTCATCAACACTCCGGATGTCTTCCTTCTCTACATACAGGAGTCTTCTCTTTGGCCTTCATGTCCTCCTGGCTGGAAGCTCCATATTTAATGTCAATATTATGTCTCTCAAACTTTGCCTCCAACTGCCCTAGACCTGACCTGTCCCTATGATGTACTCATTTCTAATCTTGTCCATTAGAGGAGGGCGGATTGATAGTATCAATACCAAAGCTGGTACTGGCATGATAGACTTGATAGTTTCTTTCTATCCTCTAGGTTTGGTATCCAAAGTCCTTTAGAGACAGGTACATTTCCAGGTCTAAAAAAAAAAGTCCAAAAAAAGACAGTTTAAAAATACACAAAAAGCAGAACGGTGTGTTTTGTTGTGTTAGCTAATTATTGTGGAAAGTAACATTACAGTTATTTAGTGGTCATTAAAATGTGTTCAGAATTGATGAATTGTCATTAATTTGCAAATAAAAAATGATTATTCATCTCTTAAGTCATGACACATGCTGTCCTCTACATGAGCTGCCTTTATAAGTCAAAAGAATCTGTAGTGTTATGAGCAATACTGGCCCTGTATTTACTTGCTATCTGATTGATATCATAATTTGCAGTATGGCACAGCACTAATAACCCCTTCCAATAAAAACCTTAACATCATCAACTCTGCCACCTCCAGCTCCTCTTTTTCATCACAGCAGGTCTCAGTAAAGTCTTGTAAACCTTCCCTATCGCTCTTGCTGTTCCAGATCACCCCTGACACTTGTTTCCACCTACTCCACCCTGCCTACACTCTCTTCTTCACCTCTCTTGTGCACTGTC